CCTGGAGGCCCCGCCCACAGGCCAAACCTGCTCACAGGGACACGCTGGCAGGGGTGGCCTGGAGGGGGGGAACCTCTCTCTGCACAGCCCAGCTGTCCCTGCTCTGGTCTCCGGGGCTCCTCCCCAGGCCTTTCACAGGAGGGACTCAGCCCAGCGCGTGGCTGGCTGCTGCGGGGAGCCGTGACAGCGCGGGACTCACGGTGACTAGCAGCCGCAGACGGAATTCCCCACAGCTGTCCCAGCCATTGATCAGCCAGACTCTGCAGCTGGGGAATTAATTAGTGAGCAAGGAAAAGGAGTACGCAGAATCCTAGCAGGCCCAGCGCTGACGCCAGGGAGCCAGGGATGACACAGGCTAATACCAAGTTGGCCGAGCCGGGGCTAGCCCACTGGGGGCTCTATGCAGGAATATTCCCCCACACCCACTAAACCAGGCAAGCTCGTATAATAAAAAGCAAATAGGGGGCCCCTTGAGCTGCTCGGAGCCCTAAACAATTGCTTGGTCTGCCTATGCCTAGCATGGGCTCTGCAGGTTGGCCACAGGGGAGGGTGAGTAACTGGAGAGTCCTTCGGTGCTTCCCACTAAGATTGGCAACTCCCTGCGCCCACTTTGTCTGGGGCTTACGCCCTCTGAGATCCCCCTGGAGCACAAGAGCCACTCTTGCCTGGCACCCTCCCCCCACCCCCAAAGCAATGGACAGCCCGGTGTGCAGGGCCGGCACGAGACCTTCCACCAGCTGCTGCCCCGGGCGCTAGGTGCGCTGGGCACCGCACCAGATGCGTTGTGACGTTGGCTTGGGACGTGGCAGACCTCTGCCGCTGGCTCCTGGTGCGACCATGGGGAAGTCACTTAGTGCCCATGGGAGTTAAATACCTTTCCAAAGCGGAGGCTTACCACTCCATGCCCCCATTCTCCAGCTGTCAAATGAGGCTCAGACCCCTGGTGACGTGTGTTCAGATTTTTGTAGCAGGGACTGTCCCTGCACAGCGCAATGGGGCCATGCTCTCAGCTGGGGCCTCTCTCTTAGGTACTGCCTTGAATCTAAGCACATCACAGCCTTAGTACATTTATCCTTCCAACCCCTCCGGGAGGCCAGGCAGGTCTCGTATCCCCAGTGTACAGCAGGGGGAAACCGAGGCACAGAGCTGCAGTAACCTGCCCAACATCGCATGGGGAGTCTGTGGCAGAGCAGGGACATGACCCCAGGTCTCCCATATGCCTGGCTAGTGCCTAACCACTGGGTCGTCCTTCCTCACAGCTGCTACCCTAA